GTTCCTAAATCAGCGAGATACAGTCAGCCCTAATCCAGTAACGGGTGGACAGATAGGTACAGGTGGTTCTGGTGGAGCACATTCTACTTCCTTTGCTCATACAAGTAGTTCACATGCCACTACAAACTATGTTTCTACTACAGATAAGGAGGGATCTCCTTCGAGTATAGATTTTGGAGCCTCAGAGCACATGACCCATAGTTCTACTATTTTTTCTTCTTACCAACTTTGTTCTGGTAGAGACAGAGTCTCCATAGCGGATGAATCTCAAGTTCCCATTGCTGGAAAGGGGTCTGTCAAGATTACTGGTTTCATTTCCCTAACCTCTGCCCTTTATGTTCCCAAATTGAGTACTAACTTGTTATCTGTTAGTAGTTTGACTAAGAACTTGAATTGCTCAGTGATTTTTTTCTCCTGGTCATTGTGTTTTGCAGGATCTGGATTCAAAGAGGACGATTGGGAGTGGTCGTGAAGTGAATGGAATCTACCTCCTGAATGTGCTTCCTCATCATCAGGGTCATCATGTTAGCAGGGATATTGAGTCAGAGTCTGTGAGTCAGATTGTGCTTTGGCATAATCGTTTGGGTCATATGTCTTTTTCTTCTTTGTGTTTCTTATTTCCAAAGCTATTTGAGTCTGTTAATTTGTCCAGTTTAGAGTGTGAAGGTTGTTAGCTTGGAAAACATTGTAGACATTCCTTTAAAGCTAGTAATAAAAGGTGTTCATCTGCTTTTGATGTGTAGGGACCATACTATCCTTCTATGGGTGGCTATCGATATTTCCTTTTATTTGTGGATGATTTTTCTTGGTATTCTTGGATTTACTTAATGAGTTCTCGTGATGAGGTACCATCCTTGGTTTGGCAATTTCATCAGATGGTGCTAACACAGTTTGGGGTACAAGTGAAGGTATTTAGATCAGACAATGCCAAGGAATATTTTGAAAAGAACCTTGCTTCGTATCTGTTAGAGTATGGATTTATCCATCAGAGTAGTTGTTCTTACAGTCCACAGTAGAATGTTGCAGAGAGGAAGAACAAACACATTGTTGAGATTGCAAGAAGCATGATGACCTACTGTTCCAATTCGGTTTTGGGGTGATGCAGTTCTCACAGCAGTCTTCCTGATTAATAGGGTGCCCTCTCGTATACTTGGATTCAACACCCCATTCAGCCTCCTTTTTCCTAAGGGGGAGATGTTCCACATTCCTCTCAAGGTGTTTGGGTGTGTTTGCTTTGCACATGTTCTTGGTCCTCACCGCTCGAAGCTCGATCCAAAGGCAAAGAAGTGTGTTTTTCTTGGGTATACAGAAAATCAGAAAGGTACTTCTGCTACGATCCAGTCTCTAGGAGTCGGTATGTTACTATGGATGTCACCTTTTTTGAGTCCACATCCTTTTTCTCAAAGGATCCTTCACAGGGGGAGTGTTTTGGGGAAGTGAGTGAGCAGTCTTTTCCTCTTCCAGTTCCAGTTCCTATGTCTGATCCTCCTATGTCACCTATCTTACCACCTCCCTTGTGTCCTGCTTCTCAGCGTTACGATAGCGACTTCATAGGGAGGTTGATTCCACTGCAGAAGAACTCACATCACTTCCTATCGGTTCCTTGAAGACTCTAGATTCGGCTGATATGGACTTAGGTATTCCTCTTGATCCCTCTAATGTTTCAGTTCCTATTGATTCTACTAATCCCATTACAGATGACCTGGACCTGCCTATTGCACTCAGAAAAGGGGAGAGAAAGTGCACTGCTCATTTATTTCATATTACCTATCCTACAGTGGACTTTCTCCTTTCTATCGTGCTTTCCTTTCTTCTCTTGACTCTGTGTTTATACCTAAGGGTGTCAGTGAGGCTCTCTCCAAACCTGAGTGGAAGACAGATATGTAGGAAGAGATGGAAGCCTTAATTAAGAATCAAACATGGGAAATTGTGGATCTACTAGAGGGCAAGGAGATTGTTGGATGCAGATGTGTTTATACAATTAAATACAAGGCAGATGGAAGCATAGAAAGGTATAAGGCCAGACTGGTTGCCAAAGGGTACACCCAAACTTATGGCATTGATTACTTAGAGACCTTTGCACCAGTTGCAAAGATGAACTATGTTCAGATCCTTTTCTCTCTTGCTGCCACCTACTCTTGGCTCCTGTTTCAACTTGATGTAAAAAATGCTTTTCTGAATGGAGATTTGCAAGAAGAAGTGTATGTTGGATCTTTCTGTTGGTTTCTATAGTGATGCTGAAAAAGGGATGGTATGCAGACTGAAGAAGTCACTTTATGGTTTAAAACAGTCTCCCAGAGCATGGTTTGACAGGTTCAGGAAGGCCATGATTGCTTTTGGCTACACTCAGACTCAATCAGACTATACTTTGTTTGTGAAGCGGAGGGGGCCCTTGGTGTCAGTCCTGATTGTTTATGTGGATGATATTGTTGTCACAGGAAATGACGTAAGTGAGATTGACAGTTTGAAGAAGAATCTACATAGAGAATTTGAAATTAAGGATCTTGGGGAGCTGAGGTACTTCTTGGGCATTGAGGTTGCAAGATCAAAACATGAAATTTTTATTTCTTAGAGGAAGTATGTTCTGGACCTTTTACAAGAAATAGGGAAGCTTGGAACAAACGCTGCCAATACTCCTTTTGATCAGAATCATAGAATTAATGCATCAGTAGGTGAGCTGGTAAAGGACATTGCGAGATATCAGAGACTTGTGGGGCGACTGCTATATTTATGTATGACAAGACCAGATATTTCCTATGTAGTGAGTGTGGTGAGTCAATACATGCATGCCCCCTGAGTCCAACATTGGGAGACTGTTGACAGGATTCTTGCTTATCTGAAGGGACACCCAAGCAAAGGCATACTATTTGCTGACTATGGACAGTTGAAGCTAGAGGCTTATACAGATGCTGATTGGGCAAGATGCCTTGATGACAGGAGATTTACATCAGGAGTCTGCACTATATTTATGTATGACAAGACCAGATATTTCCTATGCAGTGAGTGTGGTGAGTCAATACATGCATGCCCCATGAGTCCAACATTGGGAGACTGTTGATAGGATTCTTGCTTATCTGAAGGGACACCCAAGCAGAGGCATACTATTTGCTGACTATGGACAGTTGAAGCTAGAGGCTTATACAGATGCTGATTGGGCAGGATGCCTTGATGACAGGAGATTTACATCAGGAGTCTGCACTCTTGTTGGGGGTAATCTAGTCTCGTGGAAAAGTAAGAAATAGACAGTTGTGGCAAGATCAAGTGCAGAAGCTGAATACAGAGCCATGGCACGTGGAGTTTCAGAGCTTCTCTGGATCCCCTCCTTGTTAGGAGAGATTGGTGTTGAGGCAGAAGAGCCTATGATTCTGTACTGTGATAATCAGGCAGCAATTAACATTGCCCACAACCCAGTTCAGCATGACAGGACAAAGCACATTGAAGTGGATAGACATTTCATAAGAGAAAGAGTGACTTTAGGGGAAGTTTGTCTTCCATACATTGCTTTTGATTTGCAGTTTGCTGATGTTCTCATAAAAGGTGTTGCAAGGAACAAACTGGAGCATGATTTACGCAAGTTGGGAATGTGTGACATTTACTTCAACTTGAGGGGGAGTGTTGAGTTGGGCCGATTTCAAGTTATTGGGCCCAGTCATTTATTTTTKATTTTTAAGTTGTTAAGTTAGGAAGTTATTGGGCTTTAGGCCCATTAGTTTATGTTTTTAAGTTGTGACTGGTCAGCTACTTAAAGTAGCCGCCCTACTAAGGGTATTTTTGTAATCTTTCATTATTTTATTTTAAGTATATAATTCAAAGAGGGGTTGGTGGCCAGATCTATTCAATTCTGGCGACATCCCACTCTCTTTTCTTCTCCTTTCTTCTTCTCTACTACTGAAACCTTTCAACTTCTTCTCTTTTCTTCACAAGGCATTCATCTAAAACTGTAATCAGCAACTTCTACTCTTTTCAAAGTTTGTATGATTCTTTTATTCAATATTTTAGAGAAGGGAATGGTGTGGAAGATATACTAGCTAAACTTTCTTGTGATCACGAGGCCAATAAACTATTCGAAAGCATTGGGGATGTGCCTTCCCAAATAAACCAAGCAATTATCCTTGATGGCCTTGGCATTCCTTATATTTAACGGACATAATTATCTTGTTTTGTTTTTCTTTTTAATGAAATTTCAGACTTGTCTTGTTATAATATGAACTGGAATTTCATCTTGTATAGAATCTCTTTGGATTATTACTAATAAAATTTATGGTGGCTACCCTCCATTGGGTAGGGATGTGCTACCAACAAAACACTACCAACCCTGTCCCAACTGGCCACTGCAGCCTCACATTGGGAACATCTTCCTTGTCATTCATGGGAACATCTCCCGATGTATGGCTGCAATGGCTGGTTAGGATGCTGTTGGCACCGTGTGTTGGTAGCTGATCCCAACTACCCTGGGGCTTAAAACTATAAAAAGTTAAAAAGAAAGACCCATATCAACAGAGGAGATAATTGCAATCTCACATAGAATTGAAGGTCACAAATACTAGATGTTTCAGGACCTCCCTTTTTCTATTAGATGAGGTTTTTGGAGAGAGTGGGGCAAACAGATATTTGAAGATAAAGTATGACCAAGATGTAAACTAGCTTCTAACATAGGATCATGGTTGTTGATTGGGCACTATCACATTCAGAGTTTAAAAAATTGAGGAAGGATTTTGGTCTAACTTATGGGCATCTTAGAATGTATAACATGGGAACATAATGTTGGATGGGAGTTGCTTTGCTTTTTCTAGTTAGTAATAATGCATTTCATTATGGTGAAAACTCTTCACAAAATTTGTAACCTCTTTTCCTTTTAATTTAATGAAAATACTACTTAGTATAAAACATTCTTTTATATATTAACGGTTATCTTGGACAAGCTTATGAAATAATTATAACTGATACTCCGTTTGTTATATACCATTTTCTATTTTAATATTTACTTTTCATTATCCTAGGTCACTTGCAATCAATGCGTTATCTGGAAGCATTCCCAAGGCGATCGGAAACCTCAAGGACCTGATTTCTCTGTAAGTTATCCCCATATATATATTTTTTTTCTGTATCTACGTGTTTGTTTTCTAAAACTAAAAATGAAAAAACAATTGAAGTTGATAACCTAGGAATAGGAAAGTTCCCAATTTGACTACAGCTGCAACTTGAATGCATGGTGCTGGATTTAGGAGCAACCAGGGTGAACTCAATGACCTCAAACTTTGGTTCTACCTAAGGTCAAATCCCAAATAGGCCAATTCAAGCCCAGCATGAACCACATACAACATTAATCAGGCTGGATTTGGGTGGGATTAGTTGGGTTTGGTTGGGTTGGTTGTGCATGAAATTTCTTTTCCTCATGTTTTGCACTTCTTCCAGTCATGAAAGATCTAGTCTTTTTTAGAAACAAAATAAAAGAAAAATACATAAAGATTTCATTACATAAAACATATAAATATAATGTACATAGCTTCAAAAAGATCCATATACATAACATGCATAATGTATATCTGTGTTTGTACACATTTGTGTATGGGTTTGGATCTTGGTTGATTATATAGTTTAGATGTACATGCTAGTGTAAATATGTAGTGTACACTTATTTATATAACATGCACAATATCAGGTTGAGTTGGGTGGGATCATATGCCATGCTAAAAAGTACAGATGAATAAAAGAGCTTAGATTTATTGGTAAATGAGATGATTATATGCTAACATTGTGTTTTGTATAGGTCTTTTAGCTCAAATAATTTCTCTGGAGCACTTCCTTCTCAACTTGGGAATCTAGTCAAACTTGAAGAATTGTAAGTATTAATCATGTGCATGTACATATGTTGTATTCTTGAGAAAGAGAAATATGAATCTGATTTCCTACTGTGAGGTTTTTCAATGAGTCTAGCATTATGTATCTCGGATCTCTCTTGAGGGTACTAATGTGCTTGAGGCCTGTACTCAGGAATTCAGGCTTTGCCAAGCCAACTGTTGTACCAATTTAAATCCTTGAGGAAATTGTCTTAACCCACTTGTTAAATGGCAATAATGGTAAAATTTGGCATGCATATACTTGGTTGGGCTTAAACTTTGTTGGTGAATAGCCTAACAAAACTTGCTGCTGGTTGTTTTGTTTATAGCCTTTGTATTTCATGTGAGTATGTCTCAAGCATGAGCATACTTATCAATGATAGTTAAGAAGTATCAGCTGTTTTTCCAATCACAATTATGCATTAAAATATGCATTGCATTTTTTATATCTCCAAATTCCACTACAGTATTCAATAAGAAGATTAAGGAAAAAACTGACAGAATGAAAGAATGACCAAGAAAATTTGGACTTGAGTTTAATTCTTTCTTTCTCAACTTCACAGGTACATAGACAGTTCTGGAGTAAGTGGAGAGATCCCTACGTCATTTGGTAGCCTAGTAAACATGCGGATTATGTAAGACATTGTAATTATTACTAGCTTATTTAATTAATAGTGTTTTGTTTTCCTTGAATGAGTGGTGACATACCTTTTGATGCATGATTGTTTTTGTTGGAAAACCTTTTTCTATGTCAGGTGGGCTTCAGATAATAATTTTACAGGAAAGATACCTGACTTCATTGGGAACTGGACGAAGCTTACTGAATTGTAATCTAAGATGATTTTGTCTTTGGATACATCTTTGTACTGTTTATAGGGTATTAGTAGTATACGTTCCTTTACCTCATATGCTTCTTTTATTTACATTGAACTGCATTTCACTGATAACGTTAATCTTTTTGCAGGAGATTTCAAGGGAATTCTTTTCAAGGTCCAATACCGGCTAGCTTTTCTAACTTGACTTTATTAACAGATCTGTGAGTGTTTTAGTCATTCTAAAATCCGGCTGCTTCTTACACATGATTTAGTTTACTAACTGTGTGATACTATTATATAGGAGAATAAGTGAATTATCTAATGTCAGTTCTACGTTGGATTTCATTAAAGATATGAAGGCTTTAACCACATTGTAAGAAATTCTCCTAATCCATGCAATATATACTTATTTATTTAATGCATGTTTCGTAACTGACATTAACACTTATTCTATAAAGAGTTTTGAGAAACAATATGATATCTGGTACCATCCCATCAAACATCGGAGAGTATGAAAAGTTGCAACGATTGTAAGTAATTACTTTCTCCATAATGATACATATTCTTGTTAATAATCTTACAGCAATCATTCCTGTTAAGAGAGAAAGGAGAAATGAAGAAATAAAAGAAGGGAAGTAACATTGGTGAATCATGTTCTAATTTCAGTTTTTTGAGTTGATATGCAGGGATTTAAGTTTCAACAATCTAACTGGCCAGATTCCAAGCTCTCTATTCAATTTGAGTTCTCTCTCTCACTTGTAGGGTTATCTCTTCCCTCACTTATATGTAAGAGGGAGGCTTTCCCTAGCCCTTGTTGGAGATTACTTTTTCCCTAAACTTAGCATTTGATTATTGCAATGAACAGGTTTCTCGGGAACAATAGTTTATTTGGTGCTCTTCCTTCTCAAAAGAGTTCAAGTCTTCTCAATATGTATGTTCTTATGGCCAATGGCATTTAACTTTGTAGAATGATTTGGGCACTTCCCACTTTTGGCATATAGGAAAGCCTCTTATCATTAGTTCAAACATATGGTGTTTAAAAGACATAATAAAAAGGAAAGAGCCCTATAATGAATTTTATCATTATAAACTTCTTTATCTTTTCACCAGGGATACACCCATGTTTTGGAAAATGGTATTAATGCCAACTAGTTTCTTTGGTGAAGTTTACCTAGTCAAATGACTTGTATACTTTTATACCAATTAGTTTCTTTGGTAAAATTTACCTAGTCAAATGACCTGTATACTTTAATACTAAATATGCAAAACTATAAATCTAACTACTACTTTCACTTATTGTGTTACACTGCCTTGATCCGGAAATTCTCCTTTAGTGAAAACCATCAAATGATGCATTAGGGTTTCTGCACTTAAAGCACTTGCTATTTGATTAAGCCTATATAATGTCATTATTTTGAAGAAGCTGTACTTGTTTTGCTTAAATGTGTTCTAATTATTATTATTATTATTTTTGGTAACAGTGATTTGTCATATAACCAACTCTCAGGAAGCTTTCCTTCATGGGTGACATCAGACCTACAACTGTATGTATGAAGAAGCTCAAGAATATCCTTTTACTATTTAAATTTAAGTAAAATATATTGTGTTATTAGATGTTGTTTTACAGGTTTAGCACTAGAATCCTCTTTTTTCTCTTATAATGAGGTAGAATATATTTTAGAAGCTTGCAATGGATGCTAATAGTTTTACTATTAATTTGGTGGAAGATGACACAATACAAGTAATTTTAGTTAAAAGGTACCTGATGTTGGTTTAATCAACTTAGTTAAACAGAATTGCACAGATGATGGGCTGAATGGGCCTTAGTTTCTTTCTTTTATTTAGTTTTGTTTATGTTTTATGTTTATGAGTAGTGGGCCTTAGTTATGGGCCTGTTTTCTTATTTTTAATTATTGTTTCAGTGCTGGCCTCCCTAACTAAGGGTAGTCATGTAATTGTGTTCACATTACAAATAAAGAATAAAAGATTACTTTGGGGGACTGGAGAGATGTTCAAATTATTCTCTTCCTTTTTTCCTTTCTTCCATTTCTTCCTCCATTGTTTCTCTCTCTTCCATCTTCTTCAATCTTCTTCTTCTCTTCTATTTTCTATTTTGTTTCAGATTGGCAGGCATATAGTTGTCAAATTACTCTCGACAAGACCCCCCCTTTCAACTAATGTTGGTCTTCTCTTAATTCTTGATAGAATTGCTGAGATTTGTCTTATTTCTGAAATGGTGTTTCTTTTTGTTTTGTGGCTTTACATTTCTGTAATCAAGAGGGGGTGACATCTTGTCACCTAGTTATGATGTACTATTTTTCCTTTTAGCAATAAAATTTCTTTTTATTTATCTTAAAAAAAATCAGTTAAAAGAAATAAAAGATGGTTAACAGGCCCATGTGGACAAGGCCCATTAACACTAACATAACAAATAAGAGAAAAAGAAACAAAGTAAAGCACTAGGGCCCATCTGGACCAGTTTCTCTACGAGAAGAAAAGAAGAGGAAACAGAAGAGAGGTTACGGGACAAGAGGGTGTGTTACTGTTAACCCCCAAAACATTTCATTTTATACTAAAGAAAATAATTACATTAATGTCCATATATGGATGCCCAAAATACAATTATGTTTTAGTGCTAGCCGCCCTACTAAGGGTATTCATGTAATTGTCCTCACATTACAATTAAAGAATAAAAGATAATTATGGGGGACGAGAGAGATTTTCGAATTATTCTCTTCCTTCTTCCCTTTCTTCCATTTTCTTCTTCCTCCATTGTTTTTCTCTCTTCCATCTTCTTCTCTTCTATTTTCTATTTTATTTCAGATTATTACAGATGGGATCTACAACTAGAATCTATTCCAAAATCCTTATTCTTTCTTTTTTGTTAGTAGTATGAGTGATACCATTGATGTTAATGCAATTTCCTTTGTTTTGAAATGTGTAGGAATTTGGTGGCAAACAACTTTATATTTGATAGTTCAAATATCAGGTGAGATTATGTTGTATTCATACAAAATCTAAAACCATTGCCTAAACAGTGGCATGGTTTCTAAAAAAAAATTCCACCTTATCTTGTACTATATCCCTTCCACTTTTATTCTTCTAGGATATCTTTTGTGTTTACTACCAAAGATTATAACACTATCATTGTACACAGCATTTTTCCAATGCTAAATTGTCTTCAGCGAAATTTCCCATGCAATAGAGCGTCTCCACGCTGTAAGTCACACTCCTCTCTCTCCCCCTCCCCCACCTCTCTCTCATAATAGCTTACTTGTGTCAGTTTATAATTATTTCTTCTTTTGTATATTAAACTTTATATGCTATAATATCTTCCCTTTCAGATTTAGGACATTTACTTAAATAAGCTTGTAAAAACTTGCATATTATATAAGATAGTCTCCTAACCAAGTCAAATGTAGAGGCCCTCTAGATGCCATGTAGGAACCCTATTACTGATTTTACTAAGATACTTGGAAAATCTAAATAAATCAAGGAAAATTTCAAAAAATATGGATTTGTTAAAACCATGGTTTGCAATACCAGTGAGATTATATCAGTGAGATTTGATGAATCCCCCTCAAAATCTTCCCATTTTTCTAGGGGCAAGGGCAATACATAATTTTCCAAGAATCTTTTTCCCTAATATCTCTGACATATTGCTGATATGTTGGCAGTGTTTCAAATTTCATTAACAAAACTATGCATTTAAGACTTAAAATTTTAGAATATTATTTTTTGTTAGGAATTTTAAAATATTATTAAAATCTTTCCAATATTTTATTTAGAATCATTATAATTTTTCAAAGGAGAAATGGAGATTTGGTGATTAGATAATTGGTTTACTATTCTGATATGATTCACTTACCAAGTCTTTATAATTCAAAAGAAAAAGTAAAAAGAGGCCTAAAACTACAAAAAATGATTATCTAATCAAAATGTATACTAACAAAAAAGAAAAAAAAATCAAAATAGAAAGTAAATGTCATATGTAATGAAGAGAAGATGAATATGTGATTAAAAGGGAGACAGAGAGAAAGATACCTATTTAAGTTTCTTAATCTTCTCTTATTTAATTTATATAGTTGTTTGCTATGGTTTTCTTGATTTTTTAGATTTTCCAAATATCTTAGTGAGATTAATAAAATACCCTTGAAATTTCCCATCTTTACATGGCAAACTCTCCATCATATAAAAAATTATGAACCATGGTTAAAACTTCATAGAATTGGTAGGAAAAGTGTAATTGCACATTTAAGGTTAAAAAAAACTAGATCAAACAACTGTATATATCAAATAAGAGAAGATTAAGAGACTTAATAGTTTCTCCCTTTATCTTTCTTTTAGTCTTTTAGCCATCTTCTCTTCTTTACTTTTGTCATATAATTGCCACCTTGACTTCTGTCTCTTGTGACAATATGTTTTAATTAGATTGAGTGTCTTCTTATGTGTTTGTGTGCCTTCTTTTTCATTTGTATTATAGTGATTTACTAAGTGAGTCATATAAATATTGAAGTCAAAAGTCCAATAATTGAATCCCCCATTTGTTATATTAGGAAAATAATTTCACAAAAAATTTGATGTTTTTAATGAAATATCAGAAAGTTTCAACGATACAATAGAAATTTAAATCTTTATTGTATAGTTTTGGGGACCCAATCCAACGGTATGAGTGTCATGTGGGGCTATGGGAGTTGCTTCCTAGTTTTTCCAAAAAAGAAAAGAAAAAGAAAGAGGGATTTTTTTTTTTAAAATCAATTTGGTCTAAAAATGGGGAAATTTTTGTAAAACTAATTATATGACTTCAAAAATTAATTGCTAATCAGACTAGATTAGGACTATGTTATGAGAATGGAAAGGGTTAGGCACCCATTTTCAAAAAATAAAAGTAAAATTTTCAAAAAGAGAAGGCTCAATTATCAACTTTGATTAAGTGTCCTCATTTTTCCTCTCAACCTCCTTAAGCAGATTTTTTGCCAATGGTGAGAGAAAATTCTTCATACAACTTGCAATCAACCAACTTATTCTACATCCCTATAATTAAAATTATAAAATCATTATTTTTTGTGGGGATTAAGAATGTAAGACCCTAACATGGACTTATTTGGACTTGCCTCAAGGGGCTTTGTACAAAGATGGCTCATAGAATCAGGAATGCAAAATGTTTAACAACACATTAGCTATTTGAAATAATGCAATTGGGAAGAAAGTATGGGGATTGAATATTTTTTTACATGCTTGAATATGTTTTATTTTATTTTTAAATTTTTATTGTGAATATGTTTTACATGTTATATTTATGTTTTTAATTTGAGATAATAGGCTTTTTAAAGCATTTATTTTAAAATTTAAGTATATTTTTAATTAATATTCTTAACATTTTGCTTTTTTCTTCATTTTGCACCTTGCTTCGAAAAGGCGCGTGCCTTGCCTTACGCCTTGCACCTAAGGTGCAAAATGCCTCGTGCACCTTTAGAATATTCCCTTTGTCATACCATTTCACACTTAAATTAGGTCCTAACACCTTTCCCTGTTTTTCTGAAGGGAAGGGAGATCCATCATATGGATGGCCGAACCATGCAGGGTGGCTGAGCGAAATTTCAAAAATTTCTTTTCTCCCTTACGGGAATCGTATTCCCGGTTTTAGAAAAATTTCATTTTTTAAGGATCGTTCTTGAAACAAATCGGACCAGATCTGAAACCAAAAGAAAGGGAGAGCAATACCTGATACGGAACCCACATGTGTAGCTCCCAACGTAGGTGTTCACGCCTAAAGAGGGTACCAAAACCCACTTCCACTGAAGATGGCGTAGCTTGAGATGAATAGGTTCAGCAATGTAGTTCTTCAGCAAGAACTGCAATCCAACGGCTTGGATCAAGCAAGGAGTGTGAGCACGAAATCCGATATGATTTTCTTGCAAAATCAGAGGTAGTAACTGATCTCTATCAGTCCAAAAACTAGAGATCGAATTAGGGTTTTGGCGGCAAGAACAAAGGGAGAGAACTAAGAGCAGAAAAGGTTAAGACTGAAGTAGTTCGCCCCCTCTATTTTATAAGCCTTAAAGATCAGCTTCTCCTAATCCAATTAAGAGCTTCCTAATCCAAATCTTTATTTGGATCTGGACTCCTTAAGTGGATAAGAGTTATCCCCTTATCCCATTATCTAAGCCCATATCCATACCCAAATTCGCCTAAATTAATCCAGTTAATTATGGGCCTTAGGCCCATTAAGCTAGCAGGCTCACTTTTCGTTTTAATTGCTGGCTAACTTGGCTCTCTTTGTATGGCGTGGGACCCTAACATTGATCTCACAAAAGCCATATGGGTTCAGCCTAGCTTTTGTGACAAAGCTTGGCCGAATTCACTGCTAAACACAGTGAACCCCTGAGTCCATTAGTACGGGCTCTTAATGGGCCCAATACTTACACTAAATGGTCCTTGAGTCTAACCATTTTATGAAGGCCCAAGGACTATGTTCTTAAGTGAGATTAGTCCATCAGGTATAAAAGCCCTAAATGGTCTTACACTTAACATCTTTTTCCTTAATGATCAAACACTGTTCGACAAGAGAGGACGTCTCCCTCAACTGCATGGTACAGTGTTGCACTTTATGCTCAGATGGATCCCGGGAATTAAAACCTTTTGCAAACCTTTTCATAAAACACAATATATATATTTTTTCATATAAATATATTTTGCAAAACAAATCTCAAACACGGTTGAAATCGACTGTCGACAGTTTTGGTTTCCATTAGAGAGAATGCAGTCCTCGATCATTCACTTTGTTCGACAAAGGGGCTGATTCTGTCACTATGATCACCCACTCAAGTGAATTCTCAAACCGCCCCAACATACCCAGGTTTTGACCCCCGAAGGATCTCATTGATTGGCATATCAAAGATAACTTAACCCGACACCTAGTGCAGTACCATAATCGAGTCTAGGGGTTAGGTGTAACTTTCTAGTTTTGCCCATCAGTCTCCAAGGTCCAGGGCATAACTGGAAATTGGTCCGGATTCAGTGTTTCAAACAAACACACACTACATGTGCTTCGGGTCTAACCTTGGCAGTTAAGACAAGCTACCTAACCTACTTGGCAGAACATTAGTGTCAGCCTTGGCAGGATAAACCTCCCCAGGTCTATCCAACGGCTGAGAACATTCTAAACTAACACGAGTCTCATAAGTATCCAGTTTAAGGGTAATTACATAGAAACACACCAAATATAACATGAATCAATTATGTACTTTTAATCATTTACAATAAATGTTTAATGTTCATCAATCTGATTGGAGCTAAGGGCATACACTGTCTAACAGCTCCCACTTGTACTTAGGTCCAGTCGGGTACAAGCTGGAGTCCCATACTGTTCACGTGTCCTCAAACACTTTCTGTGTCAATGGCTTTGCCAATGGGTCTGTTACATTCTTCGCTGATGTTACCTTCTGAATCTGGACATCCCCTCTACCAATAATCTCCCGCAGTACATGGTACTTCCTTTCTATGTGCTTCGACTTCGAGTGGGCTCGGGGCTCCTTAGCCTGAGCAATGGCTCTACTGTTGTCACACAACAGTGGAATGGGTGATGTGCTGGATGAAACTACTCCTAATTCTTGAATGAACTTCTTCATCCATACTGCTTCCTTGGCAGCTTCACTTGTTTTAATGTAGTCAGCCTCAGTTGTGGAATCTGCTGTGGACCCTTGTTTGTTACTTTTCCAACTAATAGCACAGGACCCCATTGTAAAGATGTAACTAGATGTAGACTTTCTATCATCTGGGTCTAACTGAAAGTCGGCATTGGTGTACCCTAGGATCTATAGTGAAATACCATCGAATACTAGACAAAATTCTTTTGTCCTCCAAAGGTATTTGAGTATATTCTTTACAGCTGTCCAGTGCTTCTGTCCTTGGTTTGACTGGTATCTACTTACCACACTCACAGCCTGGGCAATGTCTGGCTGAGTGCACAACATGGCATACATGATGCTCCCTACGGCTGGGGCATAGGGAACTTCTCTCATGCCCTCAATCTCCTCAGGAGTCTTGGGAGACATACCCTTGGAGAGAGTGACTCCGTGTCTGAAAGGGACAAATCCCTTTTTGGAGTTCTCCATATGGATTTAAGCATGGTCACTGATGAAAAGGTTTCCTCATAATCGATTCCCTCTTTCTAAGTGTACCCCTTCTCTACAAGATGAGCTTTATAGGTCTCAATT